ATGCTTAAACATATCCATTGTTTGGTCAAAGTTATGAAATATTGTTGCTCAATTAAATTTTGTTTTCAACATTTCCTGGTAGTGGCAGGAATAGAGAAGATAAAACTCTAAAGGAAGAAAATATAGATAAGTAGGAAAATATATTAAACACGAATGAACAAGGAAGAAAAAGAAGAGATGCAGTCAGTAGATATAAGAATCTTGTCCTTCAGATTTGGACAAAGAATTTGTTTTTATCAAAAGCTGAATCTGATGTATTTCAAGATTGTATTTCTGGTACAGGCTGACTTCTGAGGAAACTATTCCTCTCAAACAGACATTTGCTCTGTACATTGATTAAAGTGTGAATTTCTTGGGGTGAAAAATGAAAATATATATACAGTACAAATGCAAAAATGTTAGCCAAGTTACAAGATGATGGTAGAATAGCAGTTTATTAAGCAATCCTGTTTTGGCACAGAGATGAGATTGAGAGAGAACTTATTTTGAGCGTGGACTAATATGTATTGGTTATACATGAATTGCCCCTGCGGGCTGAGGTTGCTGCCACCCCACATTGCTACTTCTGTGTCAGAGGCAGCAGCGCAGGGCAGCAGGCAGCCAGTCTGCACGGGGAGCTGGTTTTTAAACCAGCTCCTCTTGTAGACCAGCTCCCACCTGCCATCCCATGCTGCTTCCTCTGATACAGACAGAATTCATGCGGTTACTCGACTATTCTGTCACCTGCTAGCTAGCATCCCTACTTTGGATTATGTACTCCAATGTGCATTGCTTTTCATTTATCAAAATTGAATTCCATCTGCTATTTTGTTGTCCCGTCATCCAATTTTTGAGACCTCTTTGTAATTCTTGACCATCTGCTTTGGACTTGTCTTGAGTAATTTTGTATTATCTGCACATTTTGCCACCTCACTGTTTACTCTGGCCCTCCCCCTTTCATATCATTTATGAATACATTGAAAAGTACAGGTCCCAATACACAGGGCTTGACGAACTGCGGCGAAAGCCTCTTATCATTTATGAATACATTGAAAAGTACTGGTCCCAATACACAGGGCTTGACTAACTGCGGCGAAAGCCTCTTGCCAGTCCCGCACTGCGCATGCGCAAGAGCCGCATTGCGTATGCACGCGCCACCAGTAAACAGGGCGCCGGGCTGAAATCTACTCGCCACGGGGGAGTAGATTCAATAGATTGTCGAGCCCTGCCAGTCGAGACTCCTGGGGGGCACCACTATATACCTCTCCATTCTGAAAACTGACCATTTATTCCTACCCCATTATTTCCTATCTTTTAACTCAAGATCACTTTTTAAATGTCAGTGCAAGCCAAAATCTACTCCACCCTTCCTTGAGGCCCTGCCTTCTCCATTCCCCTCCTCTCTTTCACTTACTCACTCTCACTGAGTTGAGACAGGAGGTGCAGGCTCTAGGGTGAGAATGAGGGATCTGGGTGTGAGAAGAAGTGAGAGGTACAAGCTCTGTGAGGGGAATTTGGGTGCAGGAGGAGGTGGAGAATGGGATGCTGGATTGGGGATGGGACTCCAAGCTGGAGAGTGTTGGGGTCAGGGGAAGTGTTGGGGTACAGAGAAAGCTGCAGGCTTGTAGTTGTGGGGGTACAGGAGTTTGGGTTGGAGTTTATGCAGGGCTCAGGGCAGGGGTGGTTGGGAATATGATGGACTTGGGGCACAGATTGCGGTGTGTGGATGCTGCAGGAGTGTTTTGACAGAAGACTCGGGATGTGGGGGTGCAGGAGTTTGGGGATGTGAGGGGCTCAGGGCAGGGGGTTCAGGTGAATGATGGGCTCAGGGTTGGGCTGTGTGGAAGGTGCAGGACTGTTATGATGCTGTGGCCAGAGGAGGGCTTGGTCCCAGTTGGGGGTTTTTGGCCAGGCTTCATTTTTAAATAAAATATTATGTCCAACATGAAAGATTTCAACATTGACTATATTTATGGGAGGGATGGGGGACCTTTTTTGGGTCAAGTGCCAGTGACTCAGAGAAAAATCAGTTGGGGACAACACAAGTGAGATGTAGAAAAACAACCCCTCCAAAAGATCCCAAGACTCATTGATGCAGTCCCAACTGAGACACCTTACTCCCCTGGCACGCTAGCCCCATAGTGGGGGAGGAGGGTAGATAGGACTCAAGCCAGATTAATAGGTTCAATGCCTCAGGCCAAATGAACTCTTCTGGGGTTCCAGGGTTAGTGGATTTTGTGCCCCCCCCCCAAGCTCTGAGGTGGGGCCAAAAATGAGGAGACCAGTGTGCAGGACAGAGCTGCCAATGAGTGGGATAGGGATGAGTATGCAAGATCTAGGTAGGAGGTGGGAGGCAGGAGCAAGCTGGGGATAGGTGTCTGGCCATGGGAATGATGGAGGAGCTGGGTACTGGTGGGTGTCTAGCCAGGGGAGGGAAGGGGGCAGGAGCAACTTGGCCAGTACCTGAGGGTCTCCAGGGACAAGTATTTCTCGGGCAGGATCCGCAGGCAGCTCTGGAAGAAGTGCACACACAGCTCCTTTAAGAAATCCAGCCGCTCCTTGTACGGTCCTCTGCTACCATCTTAAACCCCCCTCCCACTCTATGTCCCCAGAGCACGAGGGAAGGAAGAGAAGATAAGCAAGTGTGCGCATTGCTGTGGGAAGGGGAGGAACAGCACATGAACGCGCTTCCTGAGAAGCTGGTTGTGGAGCAGAGCTTTGGGACTTACCTTTCCTCCCTTCCCGCAGGAAACCAGCTCTGGCTCGTTTTTAGAGGCGCAGGAGGCTATAATGCCAGCATGGGCGGAAGAGGGCTGGGAACACTGCCTCGAGATTAACTGGCAGTGCCTCCACAATCGACCAGTCGATCGCAATCAACTGGTTGGTGACCACTGTTTTAAACAGTTACTGATTCATAAGAGAACGTCTTCTGAAGCTTTTGATTCATGAGAAGATCTTCTTTCTTATCTCATGAGAACTTACTTTGGTTAAGAGCCTCTGGTGAGGGACTTGTCAAAGGCTTTCTGAACATGTGCTGGATTATCCTTGTTCACATGCTTTGTGACCCCTCAAAGAAAGGTCGAAGAATCTCTTATTAATAAACCTTACCTCAGAAGAGCGGCTTTATTTTGATTCTTTTTGTTTGAAAAAGGGATGTGAACCAATTTTGCTGCTACAAGCCCATACCTCAGTTTTTGTTGAGATTTTTAATCTGTGAACTACATCTTAGTATTGGTATAATCAGGTATATTTTCATGAAAATGAGCACTGTAGTGCTAAAGCTGGTTGCACATAAAAGTAAATGAAAGTAGAATAATAAAAGCTTTTGATTTATTTGCAGTTAGCTTATTTTGGCCCACAAACACATTTAAATATTTTTTAAATCAACAGTGAAAGAAACAGATTGACTTTAATTAAATACTGATTTAGACTACCATTTTAAAATTGAAATTACATCCATTTTATATTGCTTGAACACCTGTTAATTCAGTTAGTGCAGATTTTCCTCCTGGATTTGTGTCGTAAGTACCCCATCACACATATTTACTATTATGTCTTTGTTTTTTATAACACTATCTGGAAAGACATCCCTATTTAAAATTTGCCTACGGCCAGGTCTACACTAGGGGATAATTGCATAGCTGGAGTTGACGTATCCTGATTCAAACTTTGGCGCCGTTTACACAGCAGGAGGTTGATGGGAGAAACACTTCCCTTGATTTCCCTTACTTCTCATACGGAGTAGGAGTACTGGCACCGTTAGGGGTGCCCTTAGCATTCGATAATGGGTCCCTAGTAAACCTGCTAAGTCGAACACCAGAAGATCAATCTCTGTAACATTGATCTGCTGGTAAGTACAGACATGTCCTAAATGGCTCAGATACTTGATTTAGACTTGCCATGACAAAGCAGGAATACCAGTATCAAATTGTTTTAGAGCCCATTGTGCTATAGCAAAAGTAACTTATGTAGTTAGCCTTCAAAGACTTATCTAGTTCTAAGATTTTGTAAAGGTTCCATGTAGAGTTCTTTTCAGAGCTTTACGCAATGTTACTCTTTCTTTCATATTGCATGCTTGTTTGGGGAAATTTGTTATCCTCTGAATAATTAAGCATTCTTAAGCCATCTTTGAAAAATTGTTTCTGATTATTAATCACCCAAACGCGGGAAGCCACAGAAGTAATTGCTGAAATAGAAAGAAAACTTAACTACCACTAACTAAAGCTCTCTGACTGGCCACCCCATCACCAACTTTCAAAAGAGTCCTTGTGCTGACTATAACTAATTATTATTAAATATTTTAGAGACTCTTTAATAAAACAAAAACACACCAGTCACACACTATATGTATTTGTATGTTGTTATCTAATCACTTTTCTTACCTTATCCTGTGGTCTGGGCTGCCAGGCTTGTCAGTTGTAGTGTGTGCTAATGTGTGCCAACTGAGGGGGAAAAAAAGCACAATAATCTTTTTACTAGTAAGTCAGCACAAAACCTGACCAAGTGATAACACTAAACATCACCTTTTTAAAGATGTTGTCTACTGTGCTTGTTTCCGTGGGTAGAATCTGTGTGTGGCCACGGGATATAGTATGAAGTCTTGTAGCACGTTACCTAAAGTGTGGATCTGCACAATGATCATGTTGTGGCAATGGATGCCATATAAATACACACATTATTGTAGACAGGAAAAATGCTTTCTATGAAGCTGAAAAGTTGATTTTATATAGGGTAAAGTTTCAAATGATTTAAATGACTTAGGAGCCTAAATGACTTAGGAGCCCAAGCCCCATTTTGAAAAGACTGAGGTGCTTAGCAGAATCTTATTATATTCACATAATATAGTACAAAGTGTGTGTGTGTGTGTGTGTGTGTGTGTGCGCCCGCGCGCGCGCAAAAGAAACTTATGTATTTAAACATGGCAATGTTTAAATCTGGCAATTTAATAGAGAGCATCTAGTGTTTAGACTATAAATGACCATAAAACTTACCTTGCATTTTTTGTTTTCTACAAACTTCAGGAGGGACACAGAGATTACCTCGTATAATTGGTGTATCTTTAGCAAAAGAACTCATCTTTTCTGCACGTATTGTGGATGGAGAAGAAGCAAGAGCAATAGGATTGATCAGTCATGTGGTGGAACAGAATGATTCAGGGGATGCTGCCTACAGAAGAGCTCTAGCCCTCGCACAAGAATTTTTACCTCAGGTACAACATAATGAAGCTATATTTTGATTTTATTTTGGAATGGTTTAGTTCGTTGTAATATAGTGCTATGGTTAAATAATAATCTGGTTCATTTGCACATTTAACCAAGAAGAAAATTACTATTATCTCAGTTTACTGTCTGTGTTGTTAATTTTTGTCTTCCTCTTTGCTTTTAAATGATTATAAATCATTTTTTTAGCAAAGGAATAATTTTAGAGACTGCAATATCACTGTTCAAATAATATTGGAAAAGTATTGAGGATAGGAGAACTACTACCTTTGTACTAACATTTCCCTGGAAATTTAACAGTGAAAATTATTTCCCAAATTAAAGGGTTTTTTCCATTTATGCAACATATTGTTTTTTACTAGAAGGCTCATTTGTTTGCTTTCTGGACCATGTATATTAGCACAGTGATGCCATCATGCTCATGCACTGCTCTAGATTATATACTCTTTTCCTTTCACTTGATGTAACCGTGATAGAGAGATCTGAAATATGACTACTCAACCATACTCTCTATTCAGCATTAGAGAACTGCATATAGTTAATTCTGGTTTGCCTTACTTTGAAATTTCACTATTGGTTTCTTTTGACTAGAGAACCTACTATCTGATTCTTCATAGCAATCAGTCAGGGAGCATGTTGAGGGAACATGTGTGTACACTGGAGAACTAATCAATGGGGCCCTCACTAATTTGGGGGTCCCTGCAGGAGCATCAGAAGCAGTATAGAAATGAGGGGTCATTGGTGTTGGAGCTGTGACCCTGCCCCATCTTTTCCCCAGAAGTCCCAAGTCCTGGCCAAGTCAGAAGCTGGAGCCAGATGATGGTAAGAGTCACTCAGGAAGCCCCAGACCCTCCACCTACCTTGGGCAAGCCTTATCAGCACCCACACTGCAAAGTGCTGGTGCTGCTAGCAGGAGCCACCCTTTGCAAGAGCTGGTCACCTTATCAGCTCTTCCACTGTGAAGCACAGCCCCTATGTTCACTGTTCAGCATCCGCCCAAGGTTATAATGCCCATGTTAACAACTGAGTGGGCATGGCCCCCTTCGTTCTAGTTCCACCCTTTCCCCCAGGAATTAAGGAGCCCAAATGTTCTTTGTGCCCAGAGCCTAAATAACTCTTAATCTATCTCTGATTATTTAGCTGATCATTCTCTCCCTTACTCACAAGGAAGTGCACATACATCAGTGTTTCTTCTTGCAGCTCATCTAGTAGTTGGTTTTTTTTTTCTGTACTGTCAACCAAAACACCAATATATCATCCTCCCTCATTGTGGCATGCAAACGTGTGGAACTAGATCATTTTCTATGCCCCAAAATACTAGAACACTAGGAAGAAATCTGGAAAAAGCTGCAAGAGCATTGGTGATTATTGTGACGTGCCCTCCTCCTGCAATAGACATCAGTCTTCACCAGTCTCCTCAGCCTCCTTCCTGCCCCATATCCATGAGAAAACTGATTCTGACCTAATCTATATCCCTCTTCTTTCCCATCAGTCCACAAAAGATGCCACTCCTCCCCCTTGATCTCAGATAGCTGAGATTCTAGATGTTTTAATTTTTTAAAATGTATATATATATATATATATATATATATATAATCGTATGCGCACACATATATTTTAAGCACACAATGGTGATTTCATTGGATCTCCCAGGTGTATCTTTTCTGTTTTAGTTTTGTAGTCTGTAAATTCTTTGAGCGAGGAACTATTTTGATACTAGACTGACAGCACTTAACAAATTAATAATCTTTTCGTGTCTTCGCGCCCAGTGAGAAATGTTCAGTCTTTGAGCAGTGCATGTTGATACTGAGCTTATGACAGAAATGGATATCTTCAAGGGAACATTTCAGGAGACTTTGCACACTGACACTAGAGAAGATATTACAAAAGTGTTCAGCATATGATTGAGTTTTGAGGAGCTATTGATAAATCCTCTTCCCTGTTGAAAGCTCTGCAGCAAGACTATCCCAACCAGATCCCAGTCTATATCGAGTGTCATTGAAAAAAAAATCCTCCTTTTCCAGATTATTTGGCTTGCTATAGTAATTTTAGAAATCCTTCTCTTTGGGTGGAAAACATTACAAATTAAACAGTAAATTTAACTACTGTTGAACATAGCTATTTTAAAAGAAAAAGGGCCTGGATTGTGATTTGTAGCCACAGCCTTGTAATGGGGACAGTGCAAAGATTTCCCTGCTCTGAAGGCATTGTGCCTCATGCAGGTACAATTCTGTGTAACCATGTAAGAGACTGCATTAGCCTCTTCCCTTTGCATGCTTCTTGTCTTCTGGCCAATACATGTGTTTTTAGAAACCGGTGCCTGTGGTGGCCCTACTTATGCAACATATTTGCACCCCCTGAATGAAAGGATTCCTGGCCATTCTCTGTGAGTTTGAGCTCCTTGAAATATCTTCTTCCCTCCCTTGCACAACTTGAGGTCAACCATAATCTGACTGTTGGCATAGTCATGCATTTTAGTTTTGAGGCTAACATTGATTTATTCTTTTTATGTTGAGGTGCTTCCATGTCTCTTTTTTATAAGATCATTACCATCATTATTTGGTTACTTTGAATCTGATTTCCAATGCGTTGACTCCCCCACAACTCAAGTTAAAGTCCATGGGAGCAGCTGGTGTTCAGCACCTCTAAAATTCAGGCCATGGATGTTGTTTTGGTACCATGTAGTGTTTTGAAAACTATATACTGCTTTTAGGATTTTTTTTAGTTCTAGAAACATATATTTGGGGAAAAAATGAGTATCACAGTCATAGTGCTTATTAAAAAACTACAGACAAAGCCTACAGTGTGCTGATATGATAGCATGCATATGTACACACTTTAAAACATAATTTTGCTGTATCTGCTGACCTGATTTATTTTTACTTTTAGGGACCTCTAGCAATAAGAGTTGCAAAATTGGCTATCAATCAAGGGATGGAGGTAAGGATATATAGTTGTCATTAACAGCCTAGAGGATTAAGAGGAGATCCTAAAATTGAGAATTAAAATCTTCTCATTGATGTAATAGATGACTCTTAAGAAAAGAAGGTAGCTAAATAATGAAAGACTAAAATGTGCCTTAGAAATGTCCAGGCCACCACACAAAGAAATCTCAGATCGTCTCAGACATAGTCCAAGATCACAATTGGTTTAATCATTACATGGGAGAAATAAAATTTTTCATCATCAACAGCATAAATCCTTAAGAGATGTAGCTTCCTGGCAGATCATGCTCCTATAGACCTGTCTCTGGCTAAGTTCTTAAGATGGTCTGGGTGGGGAGCCAGTCTGTCCATCACAGGCAGTCTTGTTGAACCACCAAAGCTTTTGATGATCATGTGATTTCTGGCTATGTAATAGCACATCTTGAGAAAATACACTTTGTAGTTTAATTTGTTAAAGTATTTTGTTAAAAGTGGAGTATATTTGAAGTAGTATAACATTGGAATCATAATAGGTACAGTGCAGGGGTGTAAATGTATTAAGTTTTTAATTTTATATGTATATAGATGTAATATAAAATCAATCCATATTATGATACAGTAAATAAAGGACATGTAAAATGATACAAGATATACGGATAAAATATATTAATAAGATAATGTAATAAAATGCTGGAAGAAGAAATATTATATCACATCAGGAATATATACCTTGTGCCTGACTGAGTATATTATTGCTGTGTTTTCACTATGTAATATACTGAAGTACAAAAATATCATGAAATTGTCCCCTTTTAAGTGTTGAAACTGCAGTTGGGTCAAACATGTTTTCTCAGATGAGCAGGCTTTATGAGCACTTCTGGAAGTGTTAGGGATATCTACTGTGATGCAGATCTAAGATAAAGTTCCATAACAAACATTGACATAAATAGCATCTGCCCTACTCTTCTGAAAGTATAACTTATATGGGAGTGAGTAGTTTCTTCTTAGGTGTAATTTGAATAACTAGTTAAGTGTGTCAGCTTATTTGTATTTCAGTAGCATTCGGCATGTTCCAGGCACTTTCCTTACATATGAAAAGACAGTCACATCCTGGGAGATAACTGTTTCAAAACATCATTAATGACCAATCTATATGAGGTCTAGGTTTCTTCCCAGTAACAGCTGAAACAATCAAAAATATGCAGCTAATGAATTGGTTTTAGTCAAAGACAATTTGTAGTAAGACAATACATTGTGTAGTCACCCATTATTTCTGACAATCTATTAAATAGTAATTACAGCGCTGAATAAGGAAACTGATTACCAAAATACTGCCCGATCCATAACCAGAGTAGTGAAGAATTTCAGCATAACAATACCGTGAAGACCATGGACCAAGTTAATTTTTGGGATAGGAATACAGTATTTGAGTTAGATGTCAGAAAATAAAGTGTGTTCTACATACAGAAAGATTTTCACTCTTAAATTTAATTTTGTTTCACAGGTGGATTTAGTAACAGGCTTAGCAATTGAAGAAGCCTGTTATGCTCAGGTACGTAATGCAATAATAGAATTATACAAAGAACAAAACAACAAATCAAAACCCCTCAGTTGAAGATTGAAAATCATACAGATATTCACCTTGAAAATGATTTATATTTTCTCCCAGCAGTATTTCAGTTGTGAAATTTAACCTTTCATCTTAGCCATTTTTAACATGGAAATCTTAAAGAGGGAACTATAGTGTAAGGCAAAATCATTACTTTGTATGAAGGGACTAATCTGGGTGGGGAAGTTGGACACAGAACCTAATCATCAGATGGTTTAAATGGATGCATCCTTGTTGAGATATGCTGATATATCATACCTGGAGAAAACTAGAAGGATTCTGCTTGCTGCCTACACAGAAGAAAGAGTTTTACCTAACCCCCTTAAAAAAGTAGTCAGTAATTAAGAGTAGATGCATTATATTACTTCTGTGTTTGACATTGGTAGGACCCCTACTGTAATACTGTGTTTGGTTCTGGCTTCCACGTTTCAAGAAGGATGTTGAAGAATTGAAGGGTATTCAGCTAAGAGTCACAAAAAGTATTAAAAGATTGGAAATATGTCTTACAGTGAAAGATTTAAGGAGCTCAATCTGTTTAGTTTATCAAACAGAAGCTCAAGGAATGACTTGATCTCACCCTGTAAGTACCTCATTGGGAACTGAAATTTAATAATAGAAGCTCTTCAATCTAAATATAACAAGAACTTGCGGCTGGACATTGAAGCTAGTGAAACGCAAACTAAGAATATGTTTAACAGGAGAGTAATTAATCACTGAAAAAACTTACAGAGCATTGTAATGCATTCTTCATCACTGGAAATTTTTAAATAAGGATTGGCTGCATTAGTTCAGGTACAGCAATTGATTTTGATGCAAGAATTAATACATGGAAGTCCTATTTCTCTGTTATGCAGAAGATCAGACTATGAACTGTATGAGTAGAAGTGCCATTTTAACATAAGAATACAGAATGTAGTTTTATGTAGTTTAAATTTTGTAGGTGAGAGTCAGGTTTCAAACTAGAGAGTGAATTTTTGATGACCACCTAAAATGATTTGAGGCTTGATCAGTTAGAGAATTGAACAAGAGCCTGTTTCTATTATCTGGCTACTCTATCCAATGCATCTTTTAATATATCCATCACTTCAGTATCTTTTTAATCCTTTCAAACCATTTCCATACCTCTTCCAGAGGTGGTGTTTGCAAGTTATATAAGGAAATACTGCAGGCACTACAGTTGATCCTTTAAGAACTTTGAAAATGTTAACTCCCTCTCTTCCTCTCCAAGCTCAGTAATTTCAAGAGCATCCATTGTTTGCAGTGTTAAACCACCTGGGAAAGTACAACTTTGGGTATAATTTAGTTTTCGTTATCTTCTTATTTTACAGTTTTAATACAAAAATTTCTTTACCAGAAAGTGTGTTAAATAATTATTTTAAAACACAAAAGGCTAGACCTGCAGGTGGTTTAAATCAGCAGGGCTGAAGTAACTTCTCTGGAGAGATACTTATTTATACCAGCTTTATATCTGGTCCACAGTAGGTAAATCAATTGCGTGTAGAGTGTTTTCATGGTCTTTTGTACTAAAGAAAGGTGATAATATACCTTTTTAATTTTTTGTATTGATAATACAAAGCTATTTTATTCTTTGTAGACTATTCCAACAAAAGACAGAATTGAAGGTCTCCTTGCTTTTAAAGAAAAGAGGCCCCCTCGCTACAAGGGAGAATAGGACAAACTGATGCCTTGAAAATTCAAATGAGATAAAATGACTGGAAGGACCTTTCACCTGCCCTTTGCCTCAGCGCATGGAATAACACAACCACCAAAGTAATAGCAAACCATACTTAATTGCAACATCTGGAATGTGTTCAGACATGTGCCTGATCCAAGCATAAGTATCAAGTCATACACATCATGGTTTATGAGGTTGCTCTGTATACTTGCAAGGTCACCGGTTCATAAGCATTTTTTTATTTAACATGTATGAAACAAATCATTCCACAGTTTTAAAAAGAAGGGAAATTCTTTAAATAGACAAAATATATAAGGTAATATAGAATGTTTGTCTGTTGTTCCATTTTATCAGAATAAGTGATTTCTACATACCAAAAATGTGAAATTATACCAAATATGATTTATAAATAATTCTGTATATCGATCAAAATCATAGTTCACTATCTGTTCTAGCTGAATATGTAAATTATTAATAAAGTTAATGGCAATAAGAAGAACAATTGTTCAGAGGATTATAAACTTTATTTACTTGTCTCATAGTGTAATAAGTAAGAAAACCTTCATTCTGAGACTACTATACAGTGGTGTCTCTGTTACTCTGTTCATTTTTAGCCCTCAGTCACACAAGGTTATATTGTAAACCTTGTCTCTTATTCCAGGTTCCTCCAAAATATCACCTGACCAGCACTATCCGCTAAGGAGTAATCTTTAATTAACGTATCCCATTTGTTTTTTACTTCCAGGCTGTATTGCAGCTTTTAGTGCAGAGCTATGGTTATGCACGTTCTTAAAGCTAGAAAGTTTCCTTGTTCCACAAAATGCTGGATCTTTTGCATGATCATTTTGCAGGTTCTAATAAATACAGTATTTATATACAGCTGCTCTAAATTGAAATGCTCTTTTCCTCTATTGGAACATAAACCTGTTGGCTTTGAAGTGAAGAAACCACAATACCCATATGTGTGGAGGTGCTATGGAAAATGGGTTCTTTAAAATATTCTATTAACTTTACTGGTAAGTAAATGTAGCTTAGCAATCCGATGTTAACACATTTATATGGAAACAACCTTCTTCATCTTTGGCTTGCATTGTCTTCATGAAACTTCCACTTGCGCTGCTGTTTCTGCAACGTTGCCTATGGTCACTCTATGGTGATATAGCAGCTGATCAGCATGAAATGACAAGAATTCATTCAAATTCATAATTAGCCATATCTTTACATGGGAATTGATTATGTCTGGTGAAGCACCTACTTTGCTGATTTATAAACTTGACAAGTTGATCATTTCATGCATGATAATTTGTAAATAAAGCCCTAGTGCTTTTTGATAGTCATGTAAAGCCTTTGAGGTCAGTTTCTCCTATTTTCAAAATGCTAAAATATCATTTTCATTTTTACTGAGTAGGAAATAATTATACATTAACAGAAGAAAAATATTAAGTCTTTGCTGAACGGCTTGTGTCTCATAACTGTGATATACAGACTGGTTATTGACCTTCCTTTAGTTTAGTTTTCTAACAAGCATTGTATATTGAATAACTTCAGAATATGTGTGTGTGAGTGTACATCAACGCTGCATGGCGATTTCAGGATACCGAAGGTATCCGAAAATAGCTTCCCTGCATCTACACATGCTGCCCGTTACTTTTAAATATTTTTCAAATGGCGCACTATTTCGCTGTCCCGGTAAACCTCATTGCATGAGAGATAAGGGATGGCTCAAAACAGCAGGGTATTTTGAAATTTGGCGGTGTGTCTCGAAATAGTTTTGAAATAAGATACTCAATTTGCATAGCACAAATTGCGTATCTTATTTTGAATTTAGGGTGCTGTGTAGATGCACCCGCTGTGTGTGTGTATGTATGTATACATGTATGTACGTAAAGTCTGCTCAACCCAATGTATAAATTCTTGGCCTTAGGCTAGGAGGTTTGATTTAAGTATAATATTTTGTTGCCACAATTGTTACAACATTCCTTTTTCTCAGGAGAAGATGTTGCCATGCTGTAGCATTTTACATTCCTTCTCTTGAAGTCAGCAATTTGAATAATATTGCAAAGTGAGTATAAAATGGAGACTTTTTCCAAAAGTACTTGTAAGTCATGATACTGAAACAGTTTAGAGGGAAAACTTATTCTGCAAAAGTTACTTGCGAGACCTCTGTGTGTAAATTAAATTATAAGTGAAATAACTTCATGATTACTTCATCTTGATTAATTAATGTCAGTATTAGAATTCTACTTCCTGAATCGGGGCACTGGGGAAAAATTCTCTCATTACATATGACCTGTATTCATTCTAACTGCTATTTCTCACTCTTTTAATTACTGGGGCTCAGCCTTGTCAATCTCTGGCAGCAGGACTGGATTATGAAAGAGGCTTTAGGGGCTGAAGCCCAGGGGTCCCCTTAGCCCGGATGCCTTATTAGCCCAGAGCCCTTGGATGTAGCCACTAAGCCCCTGCATGCTGCGGCTCTGCTTAGCTGTGTGTGTGGGCGGGAGGGTGAGTGGCTCTTTGTGCTGTAGTTACCCTTCCACCCAGGCTGGAGCTGCCTGTGTCACTGCTAGCAGCTCTTGCCTACAGGCTCCATCCCGCCACTCTCGTTCATTGGGAATCGTGGCTAATGGGAGTGGTCGAGGGCAGTGCAGGACCACATGAAGCCATGTCTCTCTCTCCCCCTCCCCCCCACTCCCAAGGGCTTTTAACATTTTTTCCCACTGTCAAAATGTTTCAAATTGCCCTTCTGTTGAGATTACTGAGCTCGCTAAAGATCACTTCGAAGGTGTTGGTTCATGGAGCATTTCTGTGGGTATGTCTGCACTGCCACCCTAGTTCTAACTAGGGTGGCTAATGTAGGCATTCAAACTTGCAACTGAAGCCCAGGATTTAAATATCCCGGCTTTATTTGCATGGGTGTCGCCATTTTTAAATGCCCCATAGTTCGAACTACCTGCCCGCAGGTACACGTGGCACGGACTAAGTAGTTTGAATTAAAGCTCCTAATTCGAACTACTGTTACTCCTCATTGCAGGAGGTTTAATGGTAGTTCAAATTAGGAACTTTAATTCGAACTACCTAGTCCGTGCCGCGTGTACCCGCGGGCAGGTAATTCGAACTACGGGGCATTTAAAAATGGTGGCGCCTGGAAACATGCTAATAAAGCCCGGGATATTTAAATCCCGGGCTTCATTTGCAAGTTCAAATGCCTACGTTAGCCACCCTAATTTGAACTAGGGTGGCAGTGTAGACATACCCTGTGTGATCTGTTTTTCTGCCAAATCAGTGAAATGTGAATTAGTTTTCAAGCAGTGATACTTGTTCATAGTTCTACTCCATGATTCCTACTGCAACCAGTCCAGAGGCTTTCTTAACTAACTGCACTCAGAATAAAGTACTACTGTGCTTCACACACAGCCACTTCTTATTTATGTTTGTAAAATGTTTCTTTGCTGTGCACTCACCCATGATCAAATCTTTTGTGCTTCCATTTCTTTGTTGTTGTTGTTGAGGGGAAGGGGAGGCATAAACTTGAAGCTCTCAAACATTTCACCTAATAACACTATCAGCAAGTCACAGGGATACACCATATAATGAGAATGGTGCACTTACTATATTTGGGGAGTGGGTAAGTGGTAAATTTGTTCCAAATTGTGCTTAAAGGACTCCTTTTTCCTCCTGTATATTTACTGGGTTTTGTTTTTGTTTTTTGGAACATGTATTTTCTTTTGGAAGCACAAGTAACATGGTGACACAAGAATTTGAATAGATTTGTTTAATAGCCATGAAAATAAAACATTCTGAAAGTGTTAATAGAATAGCTTTAACAAGGTCACAATCTGAAACTGTTTTGTGTGTGTGTGTGTGTGTGTGTGTGTGTGTGTGTGTGTATATATATATATATATATATATATAAAAATTTCCTGTGGGATAACAGAGTGACGACATCACATCACTCTGCATCCTGCCTGCTACCTCCCTCCCTTTCCTCACCCAGTGCCTGGCTGCTGCGCTGGGTCTGCGAGACCTCGAAGCACCCCCCCCCCCCCGCGGGGG